ACGGGGCCCGTCTCGTCTGCGCGATGTCGATTTTTTTCTTTTTTCTTTTTTTTTTTTTTCCCCCACGTCTCTTCGTCGTGCACTTCGTCAATGTCACCGTCGTTGTTAATGAAACACAAAGCACAAATGCGAGCATCGGAATCGAAAATCGATTTATAATACACGCAGAGTAAACAGCGTCTCTTAAATTAAATCCATGTCTGCTTATATTAACAACGACGTCAAAATTAATAGCGTCAAATTTTAGCCAATTTTAGGAGCATTTGACGATTTCGGCGAAAGACTTCGAAATTTGAAGTATAGATTTCATGAATCTCGGCCGTATCGCTTTTGCAAAATGCGTTCGGCAATAGGTACGACGATTTTTACGACCGCCAAATATGGAGAGATGACGAGAGAAAGGTGCGTCTTTCATTCTCGTCCTGCAATGATGGAAGACGCGCGCATCCAATGTTCCCTCCGAGCGCCATTTTTGTTTCTTTACGCTTTTTGTCATTCGTTATGATTATGATTTGCTATTACGATCTCTCGATTATATCTATACGTCCACAATCGAATATACTCGCTCTTTCTCTCTGTATCACTCTTTTTTTTTTTTATCTCACTTTTTCATTGTTTTTTTTTCCGTTTCTGTCTACCCTTTATCGCGATGATGAGATACAACAGCAAAAAGTAGAGATTCGAAAGAAAGACAAAAAGACGTCCACACGACAATAATGTATTGTCGGTGTGTTTGTAAAGAAACGAATCTGCGCGCACCGAACCACTCGCTTTGCGTGTTTTGTGTGTGTATATGCGTGTGTATGTGTGATGCGCGTGTATACAATTTACAGATGAATTGACTTATAATTAAATAAACTATTGGCATTTCTCGCGCGCGCCTGCGAAGGCACAAATAATATTTTTTTTTCACCATTACAAATGATAAGCAATTGTATTCGCAATTTATCGCTGCGCGATTAACGATATGTGAATACACGAGAACGTGCATTACAATTTGTGAGATGAATGATGTTACTCATGTCATACTCAGGGTAAAATGCGTGAAGCGTGACAAATGAATGTTTTTAAAGATATTAATGATATGAAAACATGTTATTAGGTAAAAGTGTAATATTTTAGAGCACATATCTTTTGGGTATATTTATTTTTTTCTACGTAAAGCCTCTAAATGAATTTTGTGATTAAGAATACAACTTTTTTTTTTCTATTTATTTAATATTCATTTGCATTAAATGACTATGACAACTATATTTATTTATTAAATAAATTGAGGAAATTACACATATTAAAAAGTATATATTTTTATTTAAAAAATATTAGACTTTATAAAATTTTCTTATAGCTAATTTTATATAGAAAAAAATTAATGTATTTGAAAGCAAAGTGTATCTCTTTAAAAACTTCAATTTTGTCTAGAACATGCTCTTATCAATATTTTAAAAATATTCACTTATCACCCCTTACGCATCTCACTCTGTATATATCAATAACATTATAGAGAGGCTCACACGTGCAATGGAGCGACAACTGTCGCATTGTATAGGATGATGAATTGAGTTAAGAAAGCTAACTGAAGACACATTAATAATATTGTATAAATTTAAAAAAATAATAATAATAATAATAGAGATGATATCGCGGTAAAAATACCGCGAAGATGACAGTTACGAGTCAAAAGTATTCAGAATCAGGCTTTAAATATCGTAGCTTTTTTATCTTCGCTGTTTTTCTTTCGCGATGTCGCTCTAGTCTCGTATTAAACTGAAAGAAAAAAAAATCATGTTAACAAACAATTTTTTAAGCATTTGTAAGTATTTTTATATATATTTGGTTTGATTGTTAACAGCTGTCTTTAATATATGTGTGTGTTTAACATTGCTAACATTTATTCTTTGTGTATTATTTCTAATATTTATCTAATATTCACATTTAACTTATATTATCTTCATGATGTGTAGATGATATCTAATTTTTTTGATTACATGTTACATAATAACTAATACTCGACATAACCCCTAGTCTCGTATTAAACTAAAAAAAAAAAAAAAAAAAAAAATACGAGAGAAACGACAGAGATCGGATGCTGCTCGGAAGCATCCGGTGCGGTTCCGACAAGTCAAACGTCAAGTCAAACGTCATCTCGCAATAACCAGTGTGATCTTGTGTGTCTCGCCGACCTTCTCGGCACCTCTCGGACAGGCCTGTCGAAGGGCGTCGGCTTCATAAGGTTCGACCAGCGCGTCGAGGCCGAGCGGGCGATCCAGGAGCTGAACGGCACCATACCGAAGGGCTCGTCCGAGCCAATCACCGTCAAGTTCGCCAACAATCCCAGCAACAACAACAAGGCGATACCGCCGTTGGCCGCCTATCTCGCACCACAGGCCACGCGCCGCTTCGGCGGGCCGATCCACCATCCGACCGGCCGCTTCAGGTACATTCCACTGTCGCCACTATCCAGGTACCTACTCGCCTCTACTCGCTCTACCCAAGGATTCTCTCTATCTCTCTAATTCTCTGTCTCTCTGTTCTATCTCTTACTCTCTTTCTGTCCCTTTCTATTTTTACAGCTTTCGTTAGATTTTCGTTCAGGATTACTCTGTGCGATCAATTAATGCGGTTGTTAATACGGTATATCGATGTTATCTGGATCGGTAAAGTCTAGTACGAATGTATCTGGATTAAATACCGTGTTGATCGCGCATCGTCTTCTCGCTTTTCTTCTTTTTTTTTTTTTTTTTCATTCGCTTCTATTCCTCTATCGATTGATTTGTCTGACGATTTTTCTTTACTTATAGATTCTAATTCTATCTAGATTGAGCTACTTATCTACTTGTCCGTGGATCTCTCCTTATTCATCCATTTATCTATCCAATTGTCCGTTTATTTCGTTATTTATCTATTTATCTATCTATATCTATTGGACGCTACTTGTCTTTTTCCTTCTATTTTCTCTCTCTTGACACACACCACACAGACACCACGCAAACACAAATACTCGATTAGATCGATCGGCCGTTCATATATAAACTCGCTTAGAGAAACTTTGCTGTTCTGATAATAACTTAGCATCAAAAAACACAATATAGTTTTTTGTTATTTTTAATATGACGAGGGAAAATAACTGGCAGAAAATGAACGATACAATATTATGAGTCGCTTCGATTTGAAAATCTTCATAGATGACATATATATTAAATATATGATAATAATTAAAATAATAATAATTTACAAGATTTATATTAATTAATTAATTAATTATACAATAATAGAAGTCTGTCCTATTATATTGCTTTTTAATTGTTTATTAATTGGGGTCAAAGCGAGTTGATTGAAAGCAAAGCTTGATAACGGATATCCTGCCGATTGAACGATCAATCGATTGTAAACAATCAACGTTATCTCTACATTGTACGAGTTATTCGGCACAAAGCTCCTCCTGCGACAATTCTAACTATGTGCGCATTAACATGTCTGTCCTTTATTTTAAGTTGTGATTGAGCACGCTCTGTTATTTTGCCGAAATTATTAGACTTTTGTGTTATTTACACGGTAATCCTTAAGTACGGTATCTTCCGTATTTTTATTTAGTTATATGAGTTATAATCACCGCGACATTTTGCGAAACAATAATTATATAAAATATATTTTTTTCATGATTATTTATCGCTCAAGAAATAAATATTACTATTATTTTTAATTTTCAGTTACAATTAGAGTAACGCAATTTAAAGGCGAAGGATGAAAGATGGACGAGCAAAAGTTCGCGAAAAGATATAAAGTGTTTCAGAGCAAAGGATCGTATTAGTTCCGTTTAGAAAGGTCTTTCCGTCTCGCGCGATCGATACATTTCTATCAAACTTGCATATCGACGAAACGAAAGCTTGTTGAGGCCGATGGGATGGGAGGCACTCTATTGCCTTACCAAATAATATATCTATGTTCGATAACATCCGTGCGCGTAATAAGAAACATCAACCGGCTCTCCTTTATTATTTACTCTTGCAGTTACATTTCTTTAATTGATTATACGGATTCTTGATTTGTGCTATTTTTTATCCCTCTTTTATTTCTCGTCTTTTGCAAGGCCAGCGATCAGTAGATCTCACGAGGCAAATATGTACAATCTAATAATATCGTTATCCGATCGAAACATCGAATGCGCAGAAATAATGCAATAATGCAAGATTGATTTGAAAACGAAACTGATTCTTGGCCATTCTAGAAACACGGAGGAGCAAGACATGCACAACAGTCTTACATTCTGTATCAATACTTGTCGTCAAACTTATATAACACTGTTTTCATAAATTATTATATATGTGTGTTACAATATCGCCGTAGAGATTTTTCGAATAACCATTCGATATTGACGACAAATATCAGTCATAGAAAATATCAAAGACTGTAATGACACTCACAAGTTACATCTCTCTTTCGTTTCGAGCCTTCCGTATAATACGCATAAGTCACGATGCTCGCTACCGATGTCTATTTATATATAGTATATATATATATATATATATATATATCTATTCACATAATTTCGTTGCGAAGAAAACGATATACACGCATTGTACATCTTCATTGATCGCACACGCTAGGTCTGTTTGTATGTCAGACTCGAACTACAGAGTTATTGAAATTCTTCACGAGATACGTGACAGACATTGATCGTTTGGTTCTTTTATCAAGTGCAAAGCGTTAACCGAGTGTAGCTGCGCTTTGCTATCGCTTTTTCTCTTATTATCCTGTTTCTCTTCCGGCACAAAGTGGTGCGGTAACAGTTATTAGATTGTCAATGTTGAACAAAACTGTTTTCAAACGTTGACGATTTTAGATTTGAGTAGAGTGAAGTATTTCCCACAATTTTTACAACATATAAAATGTATAATTTTCTCGCTTATTACGATTAGATTTAAATCGTTAGATTAATTTACGAAATGCTCATCCTTCTTTCTTAACAATTTTTAATATTTCTTGCTTTTGTAATATCTTTTTAATTTGTTAAGACAATTGAACACATTTTGTAAATGTCTTGAAAATTGTGGTAACGATATCGAGCTTATCATATTTATTCTAGCATTATTTTTTCATATTGATGTTTGGAAAATACGATTTAAGTTTGATCAAAACAATACTTATCTCATTGCCGCGACAAACAATAATCCCTTGATTTCCTCTCCCGATAGAGAATCGAAGTGGTCTGATAAAAAATGAATTTTATTTTAATCTCTCACCGTAGATATTATATGGAAAATTAATCTCTTCTCTAAATCTCTTTTTAAATATTATTTTAAAAAATTACTCATTTTTTACAATCTGATAGTAAACATTATTTATTGAAAATTGTATATAATATAAATTGGGTTTAATTAAAAAAATGTTACTATACTACTTTTACATTTGAATGTTACTATACTTTTATTCAAAAAGATTGTATATTATTTTTTCTTTGATATCGCGGAATTAATTTTGCACCAAAGCAATTATCGGTAGGATAGGTATTTATTGCAAGTCACTTCGCTTTTCTAAGTCCCGCATTGCAACTTCCCCATTGTGTTTCATTCGGAGTAAAAATGCACCGCTATGTAGGAATAGAAAAATGAAATACGATGGCACAGGAAGCGCCCGACTTATCCCCCGACTTTGGCTCGATCCCGGAGTATCTCTCTTCTTACGTTGTTCTTTTTGTGTTTTTGTTTTAGCACTGGCAAGGCCATGCTTGCCATTAACAAAGGCTTACAGAGGTCAGTATTTTTTTCGTTACTACCACTACGTTTTTCACTCCTGATTTTCGTTTACATTTTATGTTGTGTGGCTTCGTTCTCTCTATCTTTCTCTCTCTCTCTATCTTTTCCATCTTCGACTCGTTACGAATTCGATATATTTAAGGTGCAATTATTTTATTATTAAAACGAAGTTATGTTAATCAAAGTTTGAATAATTTGTAATTATTAATAATTATTACTTAAATTTTTTAATTCATTTTTGTTCAGTCTTGTATGTTTTTATATGGAAAATTTTTTTCGAGATATATTATTCAGATTTGTTATATCAATTTCTTTCATGCAATCATAATTTCGTAACGGGATCCCAATATTCTTTGTATTGTCCATCACTTATGCATTTTTCACGCCTTTTTGCTTTGACTTTTGTTTGATTCAGTTGCAAACACAATGGTAGATATATTGACATCACGTTTTCTTGAGTTTCGCAACCAAGTCTCCTTGGTTCCCCTCGTTCTTTCACTTATTTATATAGTGCAATTCTTTAGTAATGATTAAACTGCAGCAGTATTTGCCGCCGCAGTATTTGCAACATATAGCTATAGAATATTTAGAATTTTATTGTTTTTCTATATCATTTATAAACGCTTTCGAGAAAAAACGTAATTACATATTGTCGAATTGGCATATCTTTTTAATAATAATCAGAGAATTTAGATTACGTTTTATTGTAACTTCTTAAAGAAAAAAATCTTATCTAAAAATACTGTAATATAAAAAAAAGTATTTCTTCATATTTTTATGAAAAATTCTCTTTACGAACAAAAGTTTCGTAAAAATGAGCGCGATTTTATCTTCGAAAGTAAATATGAATTTCTGTAGACGTGTAAATAGAGAAATCGGATGCAGATACTTATGCAAGTGTACATATATGTACATATGTTTAATGAATAACGGGATGAATTTACACGCAAGCAACGTGATGTTACTGTCCTCATTTCCTCGTCCTTATGGTCCTGTCGTTTCTTTCTTTTTTTTT